CTTAGTATCCAGTGATCTGTGTAATCAATCATCAATGCAGCCACACTTCCTGGCGTCTCCCACACTGGCACAGAATAATTACACAGCCGACTGCAAAGCACACCTTCTGCAACAGTTCACACGTTTTGTCCACATAGCCGGGAAGCAACGAGCAGGTAAAACCTGTACTCAAATGTGTCCACGTGGTGCGACTCTGCTCGCTTCAAAATCGTGTTCTTGTCTGTTGGGCAAACTTCACACCTGTAAAAATTCTGTACAAAGCATATCCAAGTTCTCATAACACTGCAAAATACAAAAAAAGGCCCAGCAAACAGTGTCACATGGGACTTTCCTCCCCTTTCAGTTTCAAATGATGGACTCTGATTAAAGAACCTAAACAACGGCACCTTGTGTATAAAATGCAAATTACACAAATTTAGTTATCTGCTCGTGTGATGAATTGAAAGACATTGTTTGGTGCCTCTTAAGAGGTAATTAAGTCAGTAAAACTAATACTGATTATCTTTTAAGTGATGTTTACACATCCAGACAGGAATAAATGATCAGAACCAGAAAAGATAAGTACACAACCAGAGCTACACAAGCACGTTTTCCTCTCGTTCCCTTTACAAAGCTGCTGTGCTTCAATCAGACGTGGGAGGCCCCCCACCCACCCACACACACACACACACACACACACACACACACACACACACACACACTTTCCAAATCACATTAGGCTACATTTTATGTTCTTCATAATCTGAATTTATAGCTCGTCAACCTCTAAACCAGTAATGATATAAAACTTGCACATGTTCAATGTTCATGCATATGAGCCACCTTAATAGTCTGTGCGTTACGTGAGGGGGAACATCTTTTTTACACAATGAAAAAATTGATAAATTGGCTCGGTGACACAAAATTTAAGGGGCAGCAAAACATGCATAAAAAAGGAAAAACATTTTTTGTTTGTTTTCTTTTTTTTTGCCAAAATGCATTTTCTTAAACAAATGTTTCATTTTCAATTTATCTCAGAGGGGGGGGGGGGGGGGCTCGTTACATCACACGATCAACAGTCCGTCAAGATGAAATCCACAAAAATAAAAGAAAATGCATCATTTCAGAAAAGGGGGCAAAGTGTGTAACAAAGTATTATATTCCTATTTCGCCTTGTATCATGTGTCAGTAAACCATGCGTTCCCCTCCCCCCCCAAAACCTGCTCGACGACTCACGTCAAGTTCTGATAACTATTTTAAAAAAGAAAGCAAAAACATCTGAAGCCTTAGTTCTGGTCCACTTTCTAAAACCTTTTGAAGATTTTTCATAGAAGAACAGTTAATATATTAATGACTACTGTATTTACAGAGTGAATATAAATCTTTAGTTAATACGTTAAATATTTTCTTTCATAATTTCAATAAACTGAAACAGTAGAGTGTACATTAGCGGCGTGGGTTTGATTGGACTGGCTTGCGCCTGCTTTCATGACAATCAACAAACCACAACTGTACTCTGGTCTTTATCGTCTGTTATTGTGAAGGAAGCCGTGTACGAAAATCTGCATTCAACAGGATGGAGCACAGTGGAATGTCTATTCATTTGCATTTATAGCAGATGCATAAAAAAAAAGCTCAAGAGTTTAGCTGAGGCCGATCCCCTTCTCTTCTTAAACAATTATTTACACACACACACACACACACACACACACACACACTTGCTTACAGGGATCTCCTTAGTGGCAATAAAAAGTGCTTTTGCCTGGCAACTGACACAATAAAAGTCCTCTCTTCCTCTCCTGGGCATCTACAAAACACTGCACAACCCCAGCTGATCTGGCACTGGAGATGGATGGATGGATGGACGGGTATGTGTGAGTGAGTGACGGTCGTTTCGTGAGAGGGTGTTGAGAGATTGGTGGGTGGGGGGAGCCTGTACAGTCTCACCCAGAGGCCCAGAGTACAACAGCTGCCCCCATTCTGACTGCACTAAACAAAAAGAGGGCTCCCTCTGTACCCCTGGCGTCTGGGCCACCCAGCCCGCTGCACCCCCAGCGCTCCCCTCGATCCTCGCCGCCCCTCTCTTCCTCTTCCTGTCCAGTGCTGTTTGTTCAGCCAGGCAGAATAACGTGAAGCTGGGGCCGGACCCGAGGCCCAAAACCGGACTAACTGCTTTCACCTGCGACCCACATTCTGAAGACGACGCTCTGACAAACAGGGTGGTGGATAAAAACCGTCTGCTGACAATGAAGTCAAATGATACAAAAAAAAGAGAGAAGCCCAGAAAACAAAACAGGGGCCAGACTGGTGCTTTGATCATCTGCTGGGAACGCTGGGGCCCATTGTTCTGCCTGAATGCCTGGACCGCACTGACACACTCGAGTGTGTGTGTGTGTGTGCGGTTATGTAAGGATGTCGCATGTATTATGGTATGGCAGTACAGCTACCGCACATGTGAGACGCTGCCTTTCCCTCTTTCTTAGGAAAGCTACACTGGTTCAACCAGCCCTCCCCCCGTGTCCAGACACATTCCTCTCCCTAGGGATTCTGGGGGAGGAGAGCGTATTAAGTGCAAAACACTGCTTGTGGGTTTCTTCATGCCAAGTCTGAAAAGAGCACAGTGTTTCCTGTCTAGCCTAAAGTGGGTGAAAACCACAGTGTTATGGAGTTTCCCAGCAGAGGGCAACGGCACTAGCGTACAGCGGTGAAAGGTGTGTGTGTGTGCGTGCGTGGAGAGGAGACACTGGATCAACCGACAGACTGTTTGGTCTACGACAGGAGAGTCCAGGTGCTGCCCAGCAGAGTGAAGAGGGGGAAGTAGCCTGTGTGAGGAGCAGCTGGGGTCCAGGCCAGACGATTTGCTAGCTAGCTACCTTGTGTGTGTGGGGGGGGGGGGGGGGGGTCACACTCAAACCACTCATTTCAAGTTCAGCGTCACTATTGGCATATTTTCATGAGGTTTTTTACGACATCTGCAAAATGTCTTATTTTTTTTTGTACAGTAAAGGTATTTCTCCTCCAGAGAGATTTAATATTCTTCGACATGTTGTTACACCTTTTTTCTCTCCGTTTTCATAAGGAGCAGGAAAAGCAGTATGGAACTGTCCATGCAGTTTCCTGCAGTCGCTGGTACTTGAGCGTTTGGGCCGCAAGTACAGAGACGGAGAAGGGGCACCGCAACCAGGCGCCATTACGTGTCCGAGGACACCGGCTGCTGTGCCAGGTAGTAGCATGAAGTGACGTCCGGGATGAGTCTGCGTCTGAGCTTAAGTCTGAAACCTCAAAGTCTTCAGCTCCAGGATCCAGAGAGAGCAAGAAGAGATGGGGGCGAGGCAGGTGACCATTGTGGGAAGGGTCGAGTTGGTCTCTACTTGACCGTCAACGTCTAAAGCAGCTGTTTGTTCAGTAAAAACTATAAATTAAATCAAACATACATGCCCCAAAAAAATCTTTAAATACTGTTTAAAGAGAGGAGGGAGAAAAAAAAAAGAAATAATAATAAAGAAACACAACATTACAAAACCAAAATTCAGTCCTACATTGAAACAAAAGGGTGGGAGTGAACTTAAAAAACCCAAGGAGATGCAAAGCTCCTTTTCTGCTTTAGGCTGATTTGTTTGTGTCTGTAGAGTTGGCGGGTGATCGGGAGCGGAATGAGGGAGGCGCCTGAAGGGGGGGTGGCAGTTACTTTTGGCCAGCCGCTGGGGCCTCTGAGAAGGAGGAGGGCGGGCAGTGGGCGTTAGGGGGTCCGGCTGAAGGGGTAAGAGGAGGAGAGGGGCTGCCTCCCACCGTGGCAGAATGGACCATCTGCTGCTTGAGCTGGGCGATCGTGCGCTCGAGCTTTTCCCGCGCCTCACGCTCCCTGCGCAGCTCCTCCTGCAGCTCCTGCCGGTCCGTCTCTGCTCGCTCCAGCCTGTGACGTAACTCCGACAACTGTGGGGGGGGGAGAGACATGAGGTCAACGGATGTCTACAGTACTTTTCGTCTCACACATTTAACAATAATCTGTCGTTAAGTCAGGCTTAGACGTGCTGTTGATGTCGAGGTTGAGTGGGAATGATGCCGCGTCGGACAATACAAAACTCCATCAAGATTTTCAGGGATTCTTTTTAATCTCTTGCCATCAGAAACTCAAAAAATACATCAAGACAAGTACACAAAACGGACTCAACACACAACATTTAGACGACAAACAGATAGTTAGCGAGCAGGCTATCGTAACAGACTGTGCACAGTGTAGCAGATAGGCTATCTACTGGTGTTGCACTGTATCTTGTGACTGTCAAGACGCAGACACGTTGTGATTGGAGAGACCTTAACCCTCATTACTTGTCACTCTGTCAGGCATCCGGTCCTTAACCTTGTTTACTACAGCCTGCTGTGCTGCTGTTAGCCAAAGAAAGAGAAGAGAGCCCCAATAATAATAATCATGTGTGATTTCAACATCAAACAAGAAAAGATTTAGAAGACATTCTCGATTCTTTCGTTTCAAGTTCGATTAACTTCTGTGTTTTTATTCAGACTTTTCGAAATGTGTGTTGAACTGGTAAATTACTTAAGACAATGTCTAGTTTCAGGCTAATATTAATCTCATAGCCACACAAACACGTGCACACCCCCTTTCCTAGCTAACTGGCAGACATCCTGTTTTTGAAGCCGAGGGAGGCGGAGCAGCTTCAAGGACAGACAGGAGGGGGAGGCTGCAGACCAACATAACATAATCTATCTGGAGATAAGTCGAGTGGAAACCTAAACAAAGGCTCTGCAGGAGAGTGCGTGTGCGTGCGTCTTCAACAGCAAAGTGACTCATATAGGACAGGAAAGGTATGGTAGAAAAAAAAATTGTCAATATCTTTTCAGCAGCATCACAAAGTGTTCATGGTAATAAATTGAAAACAAAGTGAATAAATTAGTTGTAAATGCTTAGAAATGAAAGGAGGCATCAATATGTAGAGCACCGCAGTGATGCTTCCTTTAGTTTGATTGGAGCACTGTGGCGTCCGAGATAAAAAATGCCATATGTTAGGAGAGCCAATGTGCAGACTGTGTGTGTCACTGTGATTCACTCTGAATGTTTCTGATGCCAAAATCGGTGCCGTGCGTGCACACGTTCCCTGCTAAGTCCATACCTGTGCAGCGTAGTGGGCCTCTTGCTGGCGCTGGGACCCCGGCTCGCAGGCGCAGGCCTGCTGCCGGAGCTGCTCCAGACGGGTCTCCAGCTCCAGCTGTTCCTGGCGGGCCTGGCTGAGCTGCCGCGCCTGCTCGCTGTGCACCGCCTCCAGCTCGCTGCGCAGCTCCCGCTGCTCAGCGCTCAGCTCCCGTAGCCTCGCCGCCTCGCCCCCGCGCACTGCCTCCAGCTCCTGGAGATACAGAGGGAAATAACAATGAACATGTGATATTTCACTGACCCTTTGTAGAGTAAAGTGCTATGAATATCAGCCCCTCCGCAGAGAGGCCGGATGTTTGATACCACAACGGCAGTAGAAGTGGAAAAAGAGGACAGACTACAAAGTGAAGGTTTTGTGTAGGCCTATACACATTTTATCATACATTTTATCATCAATATTTTACAATACAAATGCAAATCTCTCAAGCATCCCAGTGGTGGGTTTAAATGCAGGGACATAATTCAGCCGTAGATGTTAACATCACCACAATGTAGGTCAACTCTATTTCCATATGTCAAAATAGAAATTAAACTTGTGTGTGTGAATAATATACAATATGTTATACAACAGTGAAACATTGTAATTTACATAAACAGGGTTGCTGACTTGTTTTGACAAATTGCAGAAGCATCTGATATCAACATTCAGGCTTGAGGCTGATATTTGTTTAGGCTACAGGAGAGCGAGGTAGGGGTCTGTGGAAGGTGAGCATCGAGGACACTTTTAATAGGCCAGGACAGTTGTGTCATTTATCTCGAGTCTTTGTTCTTTTTCCGACCACCAACTCACCATTTCCAGCTGCAGCTGCTTGTGCAGGGTGGAGTTGAGCTTCTCCTGCTGCCTGCTGTACATCTGCATGATCTCCACCACGATTCTGTCCTTGTCGTCCTCCAGCCCCCCCGCCGCAGCGACGCTCATGGCAAAGCCCGTGTCCGTAGCCGCTACTTCCGTTACCGGCGACGACAACGACACGGGAGGAGGAGGGGGGGTGTGGGCGGCTGTCTTGCAGCTCTGGCTGCTTGTCTCCATGGAAACTGCCTGGGTTTGGCATTCCCGCTCACTGGTCGAGGCGGCAGCGGCACGTTGGGATTTGGCCTCCTTGGCGCCAGCAGCGGCGACGGGAGGCGACGCATGAAGATCTGTGGAGGGAGGAAGAGGAAGGAGTTTTAAAACCAAAACAAAAAGAAATGAGGAGGTGGTTGAAAGACAGGAAGTGCGAGTCGAGCTCGTGCACACGCTCTCGCCTACACTGAGGTAACACCCTCGCACAACCTCATAAAAGCTCACACCACTTTCTCCGCGTGAGCGCAAGCACGGCATGGCAACAGCAGAGGAACCAAACATTCACCCAAAAATTCTGTGTGTGTGTGTGTGTGTGTGCCTTCAGACAGAGAGAAAGAAGAGAGAGAGAGAGAAATAAAGGGCCTTGCGTGGGAGCTACGCCACTCTGCGTGGGCTCCTCTGTTCAAACTCTCGTTCCCTCACTTTAAAGGTGTACATCACGGGATGAGGATCAAACAGGCGGTGTCTGTAGGGCTACTAATTAGGGCTACTAATGATGGTGTGTTTGAAGGTATAAGCTCAGAGACAGAAAGAGAAGACGAAATAGTGAAAGAGAGCATGACAAAGGCCAGAATAATCTATTCATAAAGTGTGTGTGTGACAGGAAATATGATGCTCTGTACACAGCATGTCTGGCACTGGAGAGGACACTCATTTACCAACTCAAACTAACTTGCGCACACACACACACACCAGGAGTGGTTCATTTGGACGTGGATCAAAAGGAAATAAGCAGGAGAGAGAGAGAGAGAGAGAGAGAGAGAGAGAGAGAGAGAGAGAGAGAGAGAGAGGCACACAGACAAACTGGGGGAGGAAATCATTCAATAAGAAGAAGGAAAAGAAGAGAATGAAAAGGAAAAAGGGGAGGGGGGGTGACAGCAGACTGTGAGGGAGGTGGAGATGAAGAGAGCAAGAGAAGAAAGAGACATGGATGGATGAATGGATGGATGGGAGAGGAAGCAGGCGGAGCACGGACTCACAGAGGATGTGGAAAATGCTGCCAGGAGAAAAAGAGTGGATGAGAGGATGGACGGAAGAGAGACGGATTGGTTGGAGAAGAAAAAGGGGAGCAGAAACGCCCGAGAGAGAGAGCGAGAGACACAGCCTGGCAGTCAGACGTGGCGTAATAATGGTAGACGGAAAACCATTCCCATGATTCACACTCTCTCACTCTAAATATATACACACGTCTTATTATTCAGGAGTATTAAACACACGTCAACATGCACATAGACACACAGGGTAGAGAAGAGGTCACTGCCATTTCCACCACTCTTGTTCATCAATACTGATGTGCCCCCAGAGTCTTTATGTGAAGGTCAATGCATGATTATGTGCGTGGCTGCAGGCTGGAAGTGTGTGCATGAATGTGTGTGTGAGTGTGTGTGCAGAACACACAGTGTACACAAGAGTAGTTATGAAGTACTATTTAAATGATCAAATATCAACAGCGTTGTCTGTCTCTTGTTGTTGGTGGAAATACTTAAACATTTCTAACTCAAAAGGCCACGCACTGTCTTTGCCCCAGAGCTTTCAACCAGCTTTTATTAAACTATTCATTCAATGTTAATATACTGTTTATGAATTCTGAATAAGGGACATTAACGTAACATATTACTCAAGTTTCAAACAGTTTTGAAGGACGTATATTATAGAATGGACTATCAATCATTATCGTTTTCCAGGAGCAAAGAGAAACATGGTTAAAAAGTGGAATCACGGTTTATTAGTACTACTCTGTGTTAATATCACAACCATTTCTATTGCCTTCACCATCCATCTCCTGTTGGGTAACGTAGCTAGAACATGTGAGCGTTCAGCTAATATTAGCGTGTTCTAAAACTAATAATTTAATAAACAAACTGCGTGCCTGTGTTTAGCTCTGCTCTTGTCCATTTTTTACCTGCATGAACACACTTATTGGAGAGTGTAGGTCGTCGAGTAAGACACGGTATTATTCTATTTTAGTTTAATAGATTTGAGTGCAGCGGTTGACAGAATGGATCATAAACTAAAAACCGAAGCCCTGGAGAAGCGAACTCGTATCCTATCTAACGGGATGACAATGCTCAGTATATCTTGGGAACTTTATGGAAAATGTACATTACATTTGATCACATTTTACTTCTTGCTCCACAGTATAGTACCTATAGTACCTCTCTGACCTGCTTATCCAATATCAGACCTCTTAGGTTATCTGGCTCAGGCCTTGTGGTTGTTCGAAGGTTAAATACAAAGTTAGTGAGGTGGCTTTTAGTTTTTATGGTTGTAGTTTTTATTGCATTAGAATTTGACTTGCTTTGGTTGAGTAAAGTGATAAAGTGGTTTGTAATTTGGCATCACTGCAGCGCGTTTACGGTTGCCAATGCGAGTGGACTCTGTGTGCATTAGTGTGTGTGGCGTTACTGACCCATGGGTGGCTCGTCGTGGCCCAGCACTCTGTGGCTGTAGTGGTGTTTGAGCAGCGCGCCGAACATCTCGGAGCTCATCTCCGCCTCCCTTTGCAGAGACACGTTGGGAGCCAGCATCTTATCGTATGTGTACAGGTAGTAGCTGGCAGAGAGAGAGAGAGATAAAGAAAGAAGACACATAAAGAACTGAACCGACTACACATGTACATAAACATTTTAAAATGAACTGATAAGAATACTGAAAATACAACAGCATTAAAATGTAATTTTCATTTTTTTCTGATGACATAAAGGTGGCGTATGCTGCATCTGTTTTCTCTTTGTTTTTATCATTCTAGTCATAATGGTAGCAGTATCACCTTTCACATACTTTGCAGTAAACGTCGTAAAATGTTACGAGTTATGGACTTTGCAATGCTCATATACATAAAGCTACACACACACCTGCAATAACTCATGTGGCCCTTTTAAACTCTCCAGCAATAAAACGCAGCTGAATCAGAGTAACAAAAGTAAAGTAATTTGGTAGCGGCTCAGCCTCCGGTAACTGCAGCATCTGAAGAGCTGGAAACACAGTGTGGAACACGGACACTTCTTATCGTCCGTTTACAGGATCTCGGCCTAAACGGACCTTTCGGCTTATCACCAATGTCCAGGTAGTGGGTACAACTGAGAGAGAGATACTGCCTGGAGAAGCACTGAAGCCACTGAGCCAACACTATCTGTCTATTCCTGGCTGGATGGTGGGAAGGGAGGGAGGGAGTAGAGGGAGGAATAGGAAGAGACAGAGTGATAGAGAAGCAGATGGAGGAGAGGAGAGAAGCTCTAAACCCCTCCCCCACCAGCAGTCCCCTCCAGACAGAGCTGGAGCTGTGAACTAGGCTGAGTATGACAGCTCAGTGGGGCTCTGCCTGGGAAGAAAAAAAACAATATATATATAGCACTACCAACCCAGCCTGGCTTCCTGTCCTCTGGATGGAGACTGCTCGCCTCAATGGGAATCTGAAACTCCTTCACATGAAAGATGTGATTGAATAATGTAAGCCTGGCTTGTATTTGACAAGTGTACCGCTAATGGATTCTGCTAGAACCCAAATACCACGCAAGTCCCAGCTGGTTTGAGAGTGTAGCCGTCATGTGATGCTGGTAGGTGACCAGAACTCCAATCCTGCCAATGTGTCTGGCCTGATGTCTGTGAGCCTCCACACAGTCAGTGTGTCAAGGCGGTCACATGTATCTGTGGCGCCGTAAACCGTCTAATTCCAGTTAAAAAACAAAATCTGGGTCAGATTACTGTGTGAGCTATCAGAGCGCCATATCCAAACACAGGCTGGTGTGCTCAGGGGATGAATGGAGGGAGGAACCGAGAAACAGAAGAGAGGAAACGAGGGCTCTGAAAAGAAAAGGGAAGTAGGGAGGGAGGGAGGGAGAGGAGTGGCACATGTGATGAAGGAGAGGACGACGAGGAGGGAACAGAGCAGAAGTGGGATCGCAGCGCCAATTAGGGAGATTTAGGGATTGGAGTTTAGTTTACTCAGAAAGAAACTCAAGTTGAACTTAAACTTTACTTGGTAATTATTTTACTAAAGTAGAGAAGCAAAAAAAACACCTTCAGTATCAGAGGCAGCAGGCTAGTAAAAAATGTAAACAACTTAAACTACTTTAATGCAAGAAATCTCTTGCAAGATGTCTTTATAAATGAAGTAGATGTGCAGTAAGCAACAACAACGTCATGTAAAAATTCAAATAATTGGTTTCAAATGTGAGAATGTACTGCTCTTCTCTCATTTTATATCTTTGTAAACTGTATCTTTGAGTAGTGGACAAAATAAGACATTTGAAGATGTCAGTTTAGTCTCTGAGAACATGTAATGGCCATTTCTCAATCATTAATCGGATAGATGCTTGATAATGAACATAACCGTTAGGTGTGTTGGGATTGTTTAATCAAAGTCAAGGAGGTGTAGTACCTGGGATGGACCAGGGTGGGGTGTCCTGGCTCCTCCTTGATGTCCGCGAAAAGACGATTGAACACCAGAGTAGGTGAAGATGTTTTGTCCTAAAAATAACAAAACACACAGATAAATATCACACAATATGGCAACACTGTCTCCTGAGCCATTGTGTTGCAGTTACAAAAGGCACGACATGGCATCTTCCATCTACAGTTATTGATCTTAGCATACAATTTTGCAGCTGCGCAGATGAATTATCACAACGGAAGAGTTGAACGAACACACACACACACACACACACACACACACACACACACACACACACA